AAGGGGGAAAACACCCCTTCAGGATCCCTGGCCAAACTGGCCTGGAGAAAAATTGCTTCCTGACCCCAAAGTGGTGATCAGCATTTCCCTGGACGTGTAAGAAAGGGCCACAAGAACTAAGCACTGAAGCAACCCTTCCTGCCCTCCCTTCTCACGATCTGCCTAAGTTCACAGAATCAGCATGGCTGTCAGATGGCCATCTAGTCTCTGTTTGAAAACCTCCAAAGAATCTCCATGCACCTCTTCCTGTCCTATGCTTGCAGCTTGGCAAGTCCCACCGCTGCAGTGCCTTAATGAATGAGTCATCCTGCCACTTGGAGGTTCCTGCCACCTCTGTAGAGGGCAGCTAATTAGAATTGTTATTGGCGAGAAAGGATGGGTTTTACATGATGCTGTGAACAAACCAATCAATCCCTTGTAGGCTTTTTTTTTTTTTTTGGTCTTATTCCTGTCTTCTGCTCTTCAGACTTGGCTTTGGATCTCCGGCCCATTGTGTTTGTATTGTGCGGAGAGGCTGTACCGCTACATCCAGAGCAGTAATAAACCTGTCACGATAACGGCTGTGATCAGCCACCCCTGTAACGTGCTTGAGATACGGATGATGAAGGAAGGTTTCAGAGCAAGACCTGGACAGGTGAGTTAACATGTCTTATCTGACTCATACATCCTGCTGGTGGCACCTGGGTTTTGGCCACTGTGTGACACAGAGTGTTGGACTGAGTGGGCCATTAGCCTGATACATGACTCCTCTTATGCTCTAAGCCAGTGTGGTGTAGTGTTCGGAGCATCTGACTGGGATCTTGGAGACCTCCACTCAGCCATGGAAATTTGCATGGTGATCTTAGGCAAGACACACACTTAGCCTAACCTCCCTCATGGGGTTATCGTGTGGATAAACTGGAGGACAGGAGAACAATAGAAGCTACTTTGGGGGCCCCGTTGGGAATAAAACTGACATAAAAGTGAAGTAAATAAATAAATTGCTGACAGAAGCAGGTCAAAAGGAAAGGAAGTTCTAATTTGGAGTAGGCTGCAAATGCAAAGCTCACATTTATGCAGTAATAGAGCTTCAGGGCTAGGACCTGTGAAACCAGGGTTCAGACGTCAGCTTAGCCGTGAAGCTACCTGGGTGACCTCGGCTCAGCCAAAGGGTTAGATCCAGCGCAGATTGCTGCAGATTGTTGACATAACTTCCTTGCCTCTGCCCTTCTGCTGCAGCCAAAAATGCCCTCTGAAATGCTGTTCCGGGGGGCCTGCCCCATAGGAGCAGCATTTTTGGGGGGGGCATTTGGGGCTGCAGCAAGAAGGGGCATCAAGAAAGCCGGTCCACGGGAGTTCAAGTAGTCCTGGAAGTCATTGTGTGTCTCATGTCCAGTCCTTTTAAGAACCTGAGAGAAGCCCTGTTGGATCAGACCAGTGGTCCATCTAGTCCAGCGTCCTGTCTCACACAGTGGCCAACTAGTTCCTCTGGAGGTCCAGCAACAGGGCAGAGAGGCCGAGGCCTTCCCCTGATGTTGCCTCCTGGCTCTGGGATACAGAGGCTGACTGTCTCTGAATACAGATTTTGAAACAAGTGTCCTTGGAACAAGCCCCAGATTAGTCCAGCACCCAGCAATACCTGTTCTGTCTCTGTTTATTCATTTTCCCCTTCTCTGGATGATTTATTTCAGTACGTTATTCTGCACTGTCCCAGTGTGTCGTCTTTGGAAAGCCATCCATTCACCCTCACCCTTGTAAGTAAACTATGCATTATTCTTTCATATGTGTGTCTCTGTGTGTGTCTGTTTAAGGTGCACTCTTGGTGCTTGCCAGGGCAATGCCGGAAAGGCATGCACTCCTGCACGGGCTGTTGTTAGATATGCAGGATTTCCCAGAATTTAGGCAGCAGGCTTTTGTGGGGGAGGACTGACACAGGCTTAAACCTGCAAGGAATCAACCTACCTGCCATGAAAGCCACATTTATTGTTACTCAGGTGAGCTGATGTGGCAAAAGCAAGCATGTGTGGGGAGGGCTCTTTGGAGAAGCAAGCCTTGGGGATCCTCCCCCCCCCATTCCAGGCAAGCTAATGAATTCCCCATCGTGCACAGTCTATGACAGCGGGTAGTACTTAGCAATGGATTATTTTGAATCTTCCCAGGATATATCACTATGGTGCCAGTCCGCTCTTTGTCTGTATGGTAAATATCTTAATTGCAAGGCAAAGTCCATGTTTCGGGACAACATTGTTAAAAAAGCAACAGGGCAAGTCTACCTGAAAGGCTGATAATTTAGGATCTCCTTCCTCCAGCCAGAGCAGTGGAAAGCAATTTCTCAGTCTTTCTCCCCCGAGGTCATATTTCTGCCTAGTAGCACTGCTTCTTTGCCTAGAGTGTGCGCTTCGGTATAAATCCAGACCTGAGGTTGTCTCTTAACTCTGTTGCCCCCACCCTACCTGTTGCTGACCTACGTTGACCTCAGCCTAAAGAATTTTCTAGTGTCTTGCATTCTTTTGTATTATGAGCATTTTTCTTTTTTAAAGCATGGGCTGTTGTTAGATATGCATGATTTCCCCCTACAGCAGCCTTTCATCCCCCTTCCATTTTAAGATCAGACCAATGGTCCATTCAGCAGCTTGTGGGGTCCACGGGGGTGGCCCCAGGGCCCACACCTTCCCTCGTTGTTGCCTCCCATTGGCTAGCATCCAGAAGTATATTGTCTCTGAACATGGAGGTCCTATTTAACCATCAAGGGCCAATCTTCCACATAAGAAGAGCCTTGCTGGATCACAGCAGTGGGCCATCTAGTTCAGCAGTGGCGAACCAATTCCTCTGGAGGGTCAACAACAGGGCATAGAGGCCGAAGCCTTCCCTTGTTGTTGCCTCCTGGCTCCGGGATTTCGAGGTTTAGTGCCTCTGAATGTGGAGGTTCCCTTTAGTCACCACGATTAGTAGCCACGGATAGACCTGTCCTCTGTGAATCCGTCTAATCCCCTTTCAAAGTTGTTTATTCCTGTAGCCATCACTACACCGTCCCCATTTTAATCACTCTCTGTATAAAGAAGTATTTCCTTTTGTCTGTCCTGCATCTACTGCCCATCAAGTTAGTTGGATGTCCTCGAATTCTAGTATTTGGGAGAGGGAGAAAAAATTCTCTACATTCAGACTTGGTGTATAGGATTGTGAATGCCCAAACAGTGCTTCCGCTTTGTGTAGGTTTCCTAGGTGTTTGCTGCGCAGAGCTTTGGGATTTCCAGGTTTGGGTTCTTTCTTTTATCGATCCTGAGGTCTCCTGGAATGATTCACCCCTGAGGCTCAGAGGAATGCATGAATGGAAAACACGACAGCCGATCACCAGGCATTAGTTTCAGAATTAGGATACTCGATCTTTACTGAGGCATACATGTATACTAACACAGTGCCAAAGGGGGATCGTCTTTCCACTGAGGTCATCGGGGAATGCGTTCCAAAGTTTTGTCTTGAGCCTGTGGGCTGATTCATCAGGCAAATCGATTATGTGCCCATCAGAGCTGGGACCGCCCAGCAGTGAATGGCCTTCATTTTGTTCGTAGGTGTAAGGAACTGGAGTTTTGTTCATGGCGGGCATGAACTTGCATAGGTCTTGTGCTCATATACAGTACATCTTAGGAGGAGTTAGACCCTTAACAATCCACCAAAATCAGTGGGTTTATAAGGGTCCTCGAACTCCACTTAGAATTGCACTGGTAGGAGAGGACTCCACTGCAGAGCAGGCGCAGAACCTGGGGGGGGGGTGCGCTCATGCCCCCGCTCCCGTTTGAAAAACAGGCCAGCGTAGTGGCCAGGAGTGCCTTCTGTCAGCTGCATCTGGTTTGTGGACACTCTGCTGTCTTACATTCACCTGATCTGGCCGTGCTGACCCATGCTTCTGTAACCCGGTGGCTGGATTATTGCAGTGTGCTCTGCGTTGGGCTGCCCTTGAAGACAGCCCGGAAAGTGCAGCTGGTTCAGAACATGACCGTCGGATTATTGTCAGGGGCAAGCATACCTTGCTTATCAGAAAACAGCTATCCAATCCAAAATGCTTTGTATTATTTTTAAAGCCCTCCACCGACTCAGACCCATCTGTCTAAAGGACCCCATCTTTCTATATCAGGGGCGGCCAAACTGTGGCTCGGGTAGGCTTGAGGTGTGTGTGTAGGGGGGAGCAGAGAAAGAAAGCAACTTTAAATGCGTTCTCAAAGCTCCCACCCCCTGGCCGGCTTGGAGAAAGCATTAGTCTCTTTAAATAGCGTTATCAATGTCTGTTTTTACTCTTTTTGTTTTTATTTCTGGCAGGCTTATTTAATATTAATAAAAAAGTAAATTTGCATATTTTCCAATAAAAATGTGGGTGTAATATTTGTTCATATATTTCGGCTCTCGGACGTTTGATGTTACTTCTTTGTGGCTCTTAACGTTAAGCAAGTTTGGTCACCCCTGTTCTATATACACACACACATTTATTATTATTTTTATTTCTATTCCACTTAACTCCCTAAACAGGACCCCAAGTCTCTTATCATCTTCCCTCTTCTACTCTATCCTCATAACAACAACCTTGTAGGGTAGGTTAGGCCTAGAGGTTGTGACGGGCCCAAGGTCGTCCAGCAAGCTTTCATGGCAGAGCCAGGGATTCAAATTATGGGGAAAGTGTGGTTGTTGTTGTTCAGTCGCACAGTCGAGTCCGACTCTTTGTGACCCCGTGGACCACATCACGCCAAGTCCTCCTGTCTTCCACTGTCCTACAGAGTTTGCTTAACTTCATCTTTGTTGTATCGATAACACTGTCTAACCATCTCATCCTTTGCCATCCCCTTCTCCTTTGACCTTCAGTCTTTCCCAGCATCAGGGTCTTCTCCAGTGAGTGCTCCCTTCTCATCTGGTGGCCAAAGTATTTGAGCTTCAGCTTCAGGATCTGGCCTTCCAGTGAACAGTGTGGTACAAACACTGAAATTAAAACACACACACACACACACACAAATTGTCACTCAGGCTTTCAGTATAGGTTCAATGTTTATTTTAACAGGAAATAACTGTAGCTTTATATCCAGGGGCGTAGGTGGATTTGAGTGCCAGCCATATGATCCACGGCCGTGTGTTTGTCTTTTGCGAACGCCATGCTTGGATACTTCCCAGCTGTTTTGGCTCTTTCAGAAGGGAACAGGTGCTACATCATGAGAGCTTTACTAATAACAAAGAAGTTAATTTCATGTAAGTGGAAATCTGTAATGCCTCAACCACCCTCCCGTACGCTTTCCCTGGATTGCAGTAATGGCTGCAAAAAATGAATGCAATTAATAAATACGATTAACGTGATTGGCATACAGCTGTTTGGCTCCTGTTCAGTGATGGTTGAAGCAGAACTGGGGAGACAGAGGTCCAAATCCCCCCTGAGCCATGATGCAGTGCAGTGGATGACCGTGGGCTAGTCGTCCTCTCTCTGCCTAACCTACCTCACAGGGTTGTTGTGAGAGTATAACAGAGGGGGAGAAAACCATAGGCACACTCTTGAAGGGCAGGTAGGATAAAAAAAGAATGAATTGATAGACTGAGGGAACATTTTGGCAGGACGTTTTTCTTGATTTATCTAGCAAATTTATATGCCCCTTGGTGTAGTGGTTAAGAGTGGCGGACTCTAATCTGGAGAACTGGGTTTGATTCCCCACTCTTCTGCATGCAGCCAGCTGGGTGACCTTGGGCCAGTCACAGTTCTCTCAGAACTCTCCCAGCCCTACCTGCCTCACAAGGTGCCTGTTGTGGGGAGAGAAAGGGAAGGTGGTTGTAAGCCACTTTGAGACTCCTTCAGATAAAGAAAGATGGGGTACAAAAACCAACGCTTCCTCCTCCTTCATCTTCATCTTCCTGCTCTAGTCTGCCAACAAGTAAAAATAGCACCATACAATTATATAAAAACAAAAGAAATGATCAGTGTTCCCCCCAGAAGTATGCTGCCGCTTTTTTACATGCAAGGCTAAACGAGGATCCTCTGAAACTATACGATGGTCTCATTAAGAATTTTGCTCCCCTCCTGTTCCAGGAGGCAGGTCAGAGAGCCCCCACCCCTCACAAGCTAAAGTCAAAGCCTTGGTACGATAGAGACTGCTTGGAGGCAAAAAGAGTACTTACTCAAGCGTATGCTAACTACATTGGTCGCTACGATACGAGAGAGCTAAGTGCTTACCTAGCCCTACTAGAAAAAAAACGCTTCTATAAAAATTTAATTAAAAGAAAAAAGAAAGATTATGCTAGGGAAGCATGGAGGGCTCTTATCCAAGCTGCTAAGGAAAAGAACTCCGCTTTGTTTTGGAGGTTGGTCTCCATTCGAAAGCAAAACAGCACCTCAATAAGGGAAACCTATATTCCTCCTGAAACTTGGATCTCTCATCTTCAAAATTTGTACCATGACACTCCTTCCCCCTGCTCTGTGTCCGCAGTTTTCAGTGACCTGCCAAGCTGGCCTCAAGTATCATCTGAAGAGATCACAGCACTGATAGGCCAACTGAAAAGAGGAAAGGCCCCCGGCCTAGATGGCATCCCCCCTGAATTTCTGAAGGAAAATATAAACTGGTGGGCACCCTTCTTAGCGCACCTATTTACTTACATCGATAGAACAGGGAGGATCCCAAGTGACTGGGGGGAGGCGGTGGTTGTTCCTTTTTATAAAAAGGGTAATCAAAAGGATCCTGCAAACTACAGGCCTATTAGTCTACTTAGCGTCATTAGCAAATTATATGCC